TTATGTCATTAGAATCAGTGGTTCAATGAACGATTGTGATAGAGGCTATTATTTATTATAACTCAATAAAAATAATTGAAAGAAAATCGTTTATAATGTGGCGATAGTCTAATTTATTTATGGTTTATTTATTTGAAACATACTATTTACAATTTATTTCAGACGTACTATTTAATTTATATAATACTTAGACACTATTTATTACACTTTACTTTTTCATTCCAGTACTCTAAACTAAATTAAATTGTGCGCCGATGAGACGGCTATTTATATTAAGTCCAACTTTGCTACTTGAAGACTCTAGAGGTTCCCGAAAATTCCATATCTGACTCAACGGCACTCTCTGCCCGTTCTAGCCGTTTCTAGTGCGTCAGTGGCATTCCTGAATGTTCTGTCGCCTCGAGCACGAGTCGGTTGCCATCTGAAGGTCGCGCTTGCTTTAGGCACAGGGTCGGATTAGGAATTTCATGACAATAAAAATAATTATTTGTTAAATTTCGAATTTTCCTTCTTAATAATGAAAACGTAATAATTTTCACGCCGTCGTTATGAAGTTGGAACTGTCAAACAATAACTTCAGTTTTACCGATATCCGATAATTTAAGATGGATTACGAACTTAAAAGTGAGAGTGACAGTTCATCTGAGATGAAAGATGTGGCAACAGTTGCAGTTTCAAATGTTTAAAGACGAAATTCGAACTATTGCACGGGAAAATCTAAAATCGTTTTCGTCAACAGTGAAAAAACATTTTTAAACAATCTATTTTACGTCAGTCCTTAGCTGAGACAACTTACCAAACGAATAACTATGCTCGAAAATTATTCCCATTATTTGTATTTTATGCGATTTCCTTCTATTTTACTTATTTGTCATAAATCTTCTAAAGACATTGCCACAATCGATATTTTGTTCGAAATGCTTGAATTTTCGTAATATTTATCCAACAAGAATATAAATAGAAATATAAAAACATAATTTGGCAACGCTGTTCTAGCTCAGTAATAGCGGGGTTGTAAAGTATATAAAAGATCAGGATTCCTAGAGTCCAAAATCTTTAAACCAAGATCCCAAGAGAATTTGCATGTAGACCACTCATGGAACAATAGTGATTTTTTTGTGATTATTTACGTGATGACCGGAGCGAGGTCACGCAAATTCAACGAGTTACATAAAACGGTATTTCGTAACGTGTTACATACAGTATTTTTTCTAATTTTGACTAGATTATTTATAAAATTGTGTTTCAGTAAAACATACTGACATCTAGGCAGCCAATATTACTTTCTTGTATTGTTATTTGCATATGCATCATTATATTAAATTAAAAAAAACTCATTTTGTTGTTATTTGAGAAATTTATTCAAATTGCTCGGATTTCAACAACTTGCAGGGCTGCCAACTCAGTGAAACAGAAATCCGGGAGATAATACAACAAATAAAAATTGATTTGATATATAAAAGAGTATCTATCTGAATAGGGCGTGGTTCAAATCCCGCTTGTACTGAAGCTCTAGGTCTATTGTACCCCTCACATTTTCTATCCCATCAGATTGATTTTCTTGATGAATTCAAGAATGTGTCTGATGGGCGCATTCGCTATTTCTTCAGGTTCCGGATATTGTACCCCGAAGTACCATTCCCGTTCCCATTTAAGGTTGGGACAGTGGCATAGTATGTGAATAGGAGCTTCGTCCTCCTCTTCACATATTCTACATAGGGAGTCTCAGATATATTCCTAAGAGATTTGAGAGTCTTCTAAGGCCGCAGTGTCCCGTAAGGAGTCCTATTACGGCCTTGAGTTTGCTTCTGATAAGGTATAGCAGTTGATTTTGTCTGCTCGTGGATGGCCCCTCTATGAATCTTTTAGACTGTCTAAGTCCAGGAAGTTCCAACGAGAGCTTATGGAGTTCTCTATTATTTGTTCCTTTAATACCCATTTAACATGTTGGTATGAGATACCACATGTGGGTTCTGGTCCAATAAGAGTTTTTTCAGTTCCCTTCCTTGCTAGAAGGTCTGCTTTCTCGTTTCCAAACACTCCCTCATGTCCTGGCACCCATTCAAGTGTGAACTTGTTATGTTCTGCCAGAGCCTGGAGGGACTTTTGGCAATCAAATATTGATTTAGATTGTACTTCTACCTTTTTCAGTGCTTTAAGGGCTGCCTGACTGTCTGTCATGATAAAGATCCTCTTATCTCTAAGAGAGTCATTTAGCATGACTTTGGCGCAGGCATTTATTGCTGTTACTTCAGCCTGGCCCCAGGTTGAGACTAATTGTCCTCCCTAAATTCATATGGGAGATCCCAGCTCCTGTGCTATATTTCATTTTCGAACCGTCTGTATACCAGATTGATTCGTTTTTGTTTTTTCCTATTTTCCCGGCTTTTGGCCCTTTCTGGTATTTGAATATCAAAAGGTTTCCTGAAGTCGTGAATAATGGCGTTCTATCTAAAGGCATTCTTAGTACCGGATTTTGTTTTAATTTCTCTAATATCATTGTGTGGTGTCCTTTTCTCGAAAGTTCCCATCCAAATCCAGCCTGTATGCCGCCGCCATAGTATCCTTTTCCACCACAAGATGTAGTCGAGGAAGACCTAGCAGTAGCTCCATTGCTGCTGTGGGCGTAGTTCTAAATGCCCCTGTTATTATTAGACAGACTAGTCTTCGCACCTTGTCTAATTTTCTTGTGCCACCATATGACTGATGAGTAAGTTATAACAGGTACTACAACAATAGTGTAAAGCCAATACATCATACTTGGTTTAAGCGCCCATACGTTCCCTACCATCGGTCTACAGGCCCATAGTATTTTTACAGCTTTTTCTGTTGTTTTTTCTATATAGCTGCAGAAGCTAAGAGTTATTCCAATATATTTGAGCTCTTTTGCCATTTTTAGGTGTTGTCCCCACATATAAAGCTCCTTCATTCCTTGAAGGTTCCTTTTTCTTGTGAATGCAACAACAAAGGTTTTTGTCGGGAATAAAATAGTAACAAAGTTTTTTTTTATCTCATTGTCTGATTCTTCCACACATTTTTCAAAGAAATTAACCCAAAACATGACTACTCTCCTTGTTTTGCTTGCAATAACTCATCATATAGTTAGTTCATCCTCATTTGTGGGCATGTTGAGAGAAGAACTCTTTTAATTTAATCCACTCAATTTCTTTATTCATAGTAAAAGATCTGGAAGATTTTTAGCTACGTTCCTGTAGCCAGGAGATTTTTTCAAAACAAATTGCCTTTTTTGGGGAGAATCCCGGATATTCGGAAGAGTTGGTAACCCTAGTGAGTACACCTCTGAATATTTTAAATAGCAACAGGAGCAAATTGATAGAATAGATGATTTGAAAGGGTTTTAAATTTTATTTATAATTTTTATTCTTTCTAGGTGATATAAGGGGATTTAAATATTTCAAATATTCGCTACTTTAAACTAGATAATATCCCGCATATTTTATTGAAACGTATTTAGTCCAAAAGAGCGAATATTTGAAATATTTAAATGTCTGTATAGAAAATGGGTAAACATTATTTTGCTGTCTAAAATGAGCTATTGCTATTTAGAATATTCAAGGGGTAGCTACCGCAAACAGGGATTCAAATCTGGAATGATATTTTTATAATAAAAATATTAAAATTTTCTAAAATAATGCAAAAACTTTTGTTTAATAAATGGTATCCCACTGATTAATGAATTTTAAATTTCCCGCGGTTCTCGATAAATAACCTACAGCGCCACCTGCTTTCACCTTTCGTGAAATAGAGAGAGAACGAATCTTTATCTTTGGACATATTTTTCTCATTGACTTAACTATCTCGTGTTGTCTCTGTCCTCAGCAAACAATAAATATCATATTTTTTGACAGTTTGATAAAAATAGTGTTATATACGTCACACAGTTTTGCTTTAGGGGTAATTAATTCATGCAACACAAGTACATTCGTTAATAAAGGTACATACCAGCTGCATCTCTACTTATTGGTAGTTAATTTGCGATTATTGTACTTACAATATTTCTTATTTAATCATCTTGTTGAAAACTTTATCTATCTTTTTTTTAATATCTACTTAATTATGAATCATTTGCGGTAGTTTTCCTTTAAAAAAAACTAACATAAGTAGGTACATTTTAATTTTATTATTGATAAATAATGTGGAAACACATTGTCCCTACCATTGGTACCTCAGCTACTTGTTTTTATTTATTAAAAAAAACCTTACAAGAAAAATTTGTTTTATTTTGTTGAAAACCCATAAAAAATTAAAATAGCCAGTACGTATTTATTGTACATTGTATAGTATCTCGTATAAATTTTCAAATAATAATATTAAACTGTTTTAGAACAACGTTAAAACTTTTTTGTGTAAACTTTTGTACTTAGGTAGGTAAGGTTCAATTGACCTATTTTTGAATAATGTGGAATAATTTATGACTAATCTTTTCGGGATACCCTGTATAATAAATATTATTTTAATCTTGGTAAACTGATATTCGCGACATGTTGTTCTATAATCGATTTTATAATTTTAATTTGTTTATGATTTGAAGAAATAAAACTTTATTAATTTTGAATTTGCACTTTATTTTTTCTATGAAATGACGTTGGCATTTCTATGTTTAAATATTTAGGCGTAGGTAACTATTTAAAAATGCTTTACAGTTATTTTGTGGCAGAATTTACATTTTGCCTTAAAGTATACGAATGATATGGTTTCAAATGGTAGACAAAATCACTTATATAGTGGTATATTTAGTATAGGGGTGGTGTAATAATTTGGGATATTTTATTTTTACAGCAAATGGACAAATCAGAATTGTATTTTTACTTTTCTTGTAGTTCATTATAGTTTTTAGTTGGTAGTGTATTCGTCCAAATTTAAAATCTGGGTAGTTTAGATCACTTAATTTGTCCTCATCAGCATGATACAATTTGGGTACGTAGTCCGTCCGACTGCTATTTTTGTAAATTACAATTAAAAATTTCCAATAGTTTCAGTTAACGACTACAAACTGGAAGAAAAGGAGAACAAACCCAGGAAGAAAAAGAGAAAGACGTTCGAAAATAATGACAGTTTGGATATTCCCGTATTGACTGAACTATTTATGTGTCCCCAATGTACAAAAAGTTACCGGTTAAGACACTCTTTGACCCGTCACATCAAATTCGAATGCGGAAAAGAACCAAAATACGCTTGCAGCCTCTGTCCTAGAAAGTTCAAGCACAAGTACGATCTGTCTGTGCACGAAAAAGGAAAGCATTTCAAAAATATGCCTCAGTTAGTTGAGAAAATGGGCTTGGACGATGACGTTGGTGAATTTTCAGAAAAGCTTAGGCATGCTTTGACTGGAATTAGGGAGAACCAAACTGTTTAAACGTTTTGAGAAGCTATCAATAGTTTACTGTACATTCATTATATCTTTTCAAACAACAAAATAATTTGTTCAACTAACTTGTAACACCAAAGGACATATTAAGTTAGTTTAGGCATGGAATACATACAAACTGGGTAAAATATAATTGTTAGTGGTACTACAAATAAAAAAAAATGTTCCTCCAAATAACATTAAGTACATTTAATGCAGAAGTAAACATATTTAAGAGTTCGACCAATTTTGGCAGCTCTGCAATTTGTTGTCTCAGTTCAAGCCTGTTCAGTATTTAGGAAAAATTGCAAATTAAAATCTTCGACATGATGTTCAGTTTCAATTTAACGTTACGTTGGTACTCGATAAAATCTTCTGAATGTAATTCTGTTGACTAATTAAAATAGATCCATTTAGTTCCCTTTTAATCTTTATGCCCAAGAATCTTTTTAGAGGTTCCTTTCTAATTTTAATCTTATTTTCCAGGTAGTTTAATAACTCTTCAATTTCTATAACCTTTCTTAAATCAATAATACCTTTATCTACGTAGATTACTAGAACTAGTTTGTCATGACCAATTTTTACAAAGCGCATGGATTTGATAGTGTCTGTTTTACGTTAATATATTTTCAAATTTTTGATTCAAACAGAATGAAGCTTGTTTTAGTCCATATAGATTAAGTTGAATCTTCAAAATCAACTAGTTATTACATGAGTCTCCTTATAGAAATGTTGTTCTGACATCGAACTTCAGCTAAATTCAGATTCTAATGGGCAGCTATTACCAGCACCATTTTTGTAGATTTGCACTAAGCTATTGGACTAAAAGTGTGTGTAATCTCGGCTATAATTTTGCCAATACCTCTTCGCCAGTAATCCTACCTTGTAATTACCTCCAGTTTTCATTCTAAAAATCCACCTGTTGGTTATAACATTTCGCCAGGAGGTAATTCAACCAAGGTCCAGTTCTTGTTTTTCTGTAATGCAGTTAATTTTTCTTCCATGGCTTTTCTCCAGTGTTTATCTTGAATTGCTTTGATTTGAACAAATTGTTCTCTTTCTGCCAAATAGCAAACAATCATTTGGTTCAAATTTTTGTTGTTTCTTCCTCTTTTTCTTCAAATATGGTAGTACTGCTGATCTGACTCCTTTCTTAAAAATAATATCTCAAAAAATATTTGTGAGGGTTTTTCTGCCCATGACATTTATTTATTAAAAGGTTGATATATAGCTGCCTCAACTAATGTTCTCATGTTACGTTCAGCTGATGAATTTTGTTTAGGTGTATATACCACAGTTAGTTCATGTTTTAAGCATTGCTTGCTAGCTTTATGATAAATTTTTGTTCAATTTTAAAGATTTTCTTCCCAGTTTCATTCCTAAAACGTGGAATATAATCTTTAATACATCCAAATATCTCAACTTTTGTTTTAAGGAAGTATACTTTACGTAGGTGAGAAAAATCATATTTTCGGAGCAAATAGTAATGATATCTTGCAGTGGATGGTTCTCTTCCATGGGTTCCCATACAATTTTTGAACTCATTCATGATGATGATGATGATATTGCTTGCCCATATTGAACATTATTTAATATTGTTTTCAATGAGTGTACAGTGTTGAATAATTTGATGTGCTAATTTTTGTTGCCATATCATCAGAGAGTTGTCTTTAAGATAATTAGCCAATGGTGAACACATCATATATTTGTGGATGAAAAATATAGTCGAAAACCACATAGCTTCGGTGTACAATAGAAAAATGTTTTACAGTAAACTATTGTTTTAGCTTCTGATAATTTTTTTAGTGAGCTATAATCTTGCCATTGATTTGTATTTGATAATTGTTTTAGTTTTATAAGTTTCTTTTTTAGTTGATATTAATTATATTTTGACGTTTTAAATTGAGACTTTTCGGTGTTTCATTTTTGATAGTTATTAGTAAATAGTCTAAAGTTCAAATTATTAAAAGACTGAAAAAAGAAAAATAGTAAGTTACTATATTTATAGAATTTTTGTTGTAAATTTTTTAATTCCAATATTTTGAAAAAAAATTTCAAAGTTTGTTTTAAATAAAATTATACGAAGGTGTGAAATAATTGATAGAATATTTGTTGTCAATTTTTTTATTCAAAATTTTGAAATTTTTTTAAATTTAGTCTTAAGAATTATACCAAATTGTGACATAATTTAAGTGCCTTTATAGATAGTGCCTTACATCGTGAGTTTTTAGGTACAAATTGTATTAGTATTAGTTTGATATTCATAATCAGTATTTGCATTACCAAAAATAAGTATTTTACTTAGTGCTTCTATTTATCAGCTATAGGTGTAAGTTTTGTTAGTTTTTTTTTATTGATAATAATTGATAATATTCAATTTTGTATTCAATTTCGTTTTTGTTTATTTTACTGACGAAATAAATTGCATTTCAAAAAGTGTTTTTTTAAATTTTATTTTACCAATTATAACTTCTTATTTTTACTAAATTTGGCACTTTGGTTTCTAAAAATGTTTCTGACTTTCTCTACCAATCATAAAACCAATTATAAATTTGGCATACAGGGCTTAACAAATGAAATCTCTAAAATATATTTATTTTTTTATCTTTCAAAATACTTGGAAATTTGAAAAACCTGATTCGAATCCAGACATCTTTGTTCTGTACACAAATGCCCTACCTCTAGACTATCACGACGTTGACTGTCGAAATTCCTCCTAGACGGCAGTTTGATGTGCTAATTCGGGCCTAGCGCCGTTTCAGGCTCGTTGTCAAATCTTCAAATACCTCTATACAGCATCGGTATATATGAAAAATGCAGTGATGCATACTATGCTCATATCTTCAGTTAAGTTTTCAATGTACGTTAAGCGCCGTAAAGGTAATTCATTTTTAAACTTGACAACATATTTTACTAATTTCATTGGATATATTTAATACAGTGTTGTTAGATTTAAGATCTGTTCAAATATTTAATGTGTTCCCTTTTATTCCAAACTATCAAAAATCAGTTCAGTGGTAAAAACTAATTCAGTTCTTTCATTATGCAAAGATATTGTTTCATTATGATGATTATATAGTAATATCACTTGATAATCGGTTTTTTGTTGGTTTGACGTCATCGACGTCATTTACCACATATTATTTTAAATTTGAATAATAATTTTTAGTTTTACCTTTGATATTTTAAAAGCTCTGATATCGAAGTTCTTTGGCAATAATAAATTACATCATAGCCGTACCTTTAGAAAAATTTATTGAATAATTAATAATATTTAAAGCATTTGCTATCAAGGCAGCAGTCCTCTTAGAGGTTCATAAGAAAATTTTATATTTGGAGTTCCACAAGACTCCGTCTAAGGCCTCATACTTTTTATAATTTATATAAACATTACCGTTGAACCAATGATAAATATTGCACCCAGTTGGCATAATCTGAGATAAATAAGCTTAGAAGTTTTGCGAATCCTCAGATGGATTGATGAAATTTAAAAAATATGATATTTTGCTGAACATTAGCTAGTGTATATCGCAAAAATTAAAAATTTTCAAAAATAATTTCTTTTGGGTGGGAAGTTTTTTTAGCCTTTTCATCTGTAACATACGCAAACTCATTAACTAAAGCTTCCAGTTCTTTTCCAGACAACGCGACATGTTTCACGTCTACAAAGATTATAAAATATTTTGAAAAAAGTTGGTTTAGTGCTGACATTTTACTATTATTACTACAAAAAACTGGTTTTCATTTTGCTATAAATCCACCTTTTGCATTTTTTAACATTTGGTTCTAAAATGTTTTCAAAGTGCACAGAATATCTTTGCTATAAAAATTAGTTTAAAAAAAATTGTTTTTAACAAAATTGAAAAACAAGAAAAAAATTATTTACAGCTAGTATATCAAATAACTCACCCAATACTGCATACATTTTTTTATATTAGATATAGGTACTACTAAGTCATTTGTCAAAAAAATACAGGCAATACAATAATTTTAAAATAAATATAAAAAACACTGGGATACATATTTCCCACTTTGGGAAATGATCAACAGGTTAAACTAATCGCAGTGATGCATATAAGACATACAATGAATAACAAGTAGGACTCTGCGCACCTGGGAAACATGGTAACCAGATAGGTTTAAGCTAAAACCTTGGTGGGAAGTATAGCTCCCAGTACACTATAAAGGGCTGATGTACTTTCTAATTATTCAGAAAATATGATCAATTAAACCTATTTATTATCATCATTATAGTTGGTTAAATCTATGTCGCCAAATATAATACTAACAATTTTTTTCTAGTTGCTAATATTGATATTTCAGATCCATCGAGATGTTGCCCGAATTGCTTCAAATTCTACAAGTACAAAAGGAACCTCCTGGTACACATGAAGCACGAGTGCGGCAAAGAACCCAGATATCAGTGTCCGTACTGCACGCACAGATCCCACAAGAAGTACAACATGAACTACCATATACAGCATAAACATGGTTTAAATTTACCTTTTTAGACATTTTTTATTTATATTTTATTCTATGTTGATTAACTTATCTTTTTTTGATTAAAACGTTTTATAAATGAAATACAAGGTCATCTAACCTCCACTCTTGATATTTTATAACACAAAATAAGTACTTACAGAGGCGTGGGCTCAACCCACTGACTTTCGATAGAACAAACTGTTTGGTTTGGAATTTGAAGAACGTTCTAATTGGGGCTCGTCAGGCAGAAGTTTTTATATTTCACAGAAGAAGAAATATCCGAAATAGCACAGAAAATCAAAACGAAACATAGTAGTGAAGACGATAAAATTCCAACACCACTTATGAAACAGGTTATAATTTATATTAAGGATACTTTAGTTTATATGATAATTCTTTGAAATATCGGATATTTCCACAGTAACTAAAATAACTAGTAAAACCACTTCATTAAAATGGTAAGTAAAATGAAAAATTATAGACCAATAGTCTGCTTCCATGTTTCTCGAAACAACTGTCACTTATTTAGCAAAAATCACCATTAATATATTCAAAGAAAACTCACATCACATACTTACTGAAGAAAATAATTTTGCAATGGGAATGTTTTTAGATCTTTTTCAAAGCATATGATTGTCTTAATCGGAATGTTGCGTCTAATTTTAATTGTCTATTTTTCCTGAAAAAAAAAACTAGTGAAAAAACAGAGTTTTACCGTTTTTGTTTGTATATGATAGATAGTTTTTGTGTGTATACACTACTCGTGGATCAGGCTAATTGGCAAACCATCGGGTTGGAGAGCTGTCAACGGCAACTCGTCGATCCGATGCCCCGCCCATCGCTCAGTCCACCGCCGACCAAAGTTGAGGACCCTGGCCGTACTTAAGTAGTGTATTTACTAATTATAACATGCTATGTTTGTTACGTTATTGTGCTGTATTTTTGTCTTTATCAGTGTCTGTAAATTATGAAGTTTTCGTGTAGCCATCCATGTTTCCTGTTTCCGCTGTTTTCAATATTTGTATTAAATATTTCTTGCTTTAATCGTTTGAAAAGACAACGTCTGTATAATTATTCTGCTGTTTTTGAGATTTATTCTTTAAGTGGAAGCATGTTTATGCCTCATACATTTGTTCTAAATGATTTACAGTCGTATTGCAGTTCGCCATTGAATAGAAGAATGTAATTCCATAGGTTAATTTGAGCCGTATTATTTGCTTGTATAAAAGCAATTTGTTGCTACGTGTATTCCTGTTTATTTTGCTACACGATCTGCAATGGGTTCTGTTGTTAGGTTTTGTACCTTAAATTTATCTATCCTTCTTCCTATTTTTTGTTATTATTTAGGAAGGGGATCGGCGTTCCATTGATATGAATGTCCAGCCTTCTAGTTAGACAGTATACTAGGTTCAATATTTTTCATAATTTCTATAAACGTTTTATGTAATTATCTGTCAATTACAATTACAACAAATAAATACGCAGGCGATACTAACTTGCCGAGTGGGGGTGATACGTATCTTGATATTGCAGTGACGCAGTGGTTTTACAGAAATAATCTAGTGAGTAACAAATAAGGTTGCTACCTTATTGAAAAGTGAATAAAGGTAGGTTTGCCAGATTTACGAAAGGGATATTTTTAAAAGAAAAAACCAGACTTTTCTGGTGAGCTTTTAAAAAAAGAAGGTCCCTTTTCTGACGACGAACTTCTAAAAGGACATTTTAAAAAAGTCACAAGGACAATTTGCTTGAAAAAAGAACTATTCTTTTCAAGACAAAAACTAACATTACTTTCGATCAAGGCAATTATAAAATAAGATAATATTAACATAGAAATTACTAGCACAACAAAATTTCTTGGTATTCACATCATAGAATTTTTGAATCGTTCAGATCACCTAGTAAAATTATGTAACAAGCTAAACTCTATTCTTTTTTGGAATTAGAACATAAATATCTACATAATGAAGCAATTAAAATTATTTATGCCAATTCTGAGAGAGTAGCAAAATATAGTATAATTTTTTGGAGAAGTAATTCAGATGTATAAAAATCTTTATTCCTCAAAAACGAGCGCTATAGATAATTTGTAATGATACATAAAAAATTATGTTGGTGACTCCAGAATTAAATAATGACTATATTTGGTATTTACTTTTATGAGTGTTATTGTTATTCTTCAAGAATGAAGAATTCTTTTTTTAATTAATTTATTTAACGTCGACCTATTTCTAAACCGACGCTGGTGAGCACGCTATCCCCAATTACCAGAAATTTAGCCGAATCCCCTTGGTGTTCCAACCAGAGGTAGGGATCTTTAACGAACCCAACATCCATGGACTCCGGACCGACAGCTTTACATCTCCTCCGAAAACGCCTGCCCGCTGTGGTATACAACTAAGTGAGCAGTTTGTTCAGACTTACGCCGTCTTTCATTGTGTTGGTCTCCGTCCAACTGCTAACTGCGCTCGGCCTAGCTTGACTGCAGATATCGATACACAATAAGTGAACCTGCTAAGCCGTTGCGCTGCCAAGAAGAATTCATTTCGAACTACATTCC